TTTTCAACACTCGAAGATAAAATTCGTATCTCCGCGCACCCATGTAATATCCTCTATATATTTTCAGGTGAAAAACAGTAATACGTCCAATCAGCGTATAGCATTTTTCACATGTGAAAAATATAACCAATCAGAATCGTCGATAAATTCCTCAGTCAATCAGAGAACGAGAAATAACACTTTACTGGCTTCTTGGTCAGAGGAAAAAAAGCTGTTGTTTTTGAAAGTTGACGGGCTGTTTTCTGTCCAGTTTTTGCGAATTTGTCGAGGAAAAACAACAGTAAGAACCTTTTAGTAAACAAAGAAGAAGACTGATAGCCTTTGGTGTAAGGGTGTTTGAAGCCAGAAAAATCAGAGAAAGACGTCCAAATATCAAAACGAACGAGCTAGTGGTTTCTACTTCTCGCCGAAGATGGAGGTTTCAAGCTAAAAACTGTGCCGTCCTTGAAGACTTTATCTAAAAATGTTTCTTGATGCATTAATCCTATGGTTTAAGAAAACCTGGAGATAGGCTGGCGAAGAAACGAAAAAGCAGAAGGTATTTTCTTTTCTTGCAATTTTCTTCCCAAGGATTCAACAGTTTGGCTTCAGCTTTCAAAAGTTGTAGACTTGATGTTTTTTCTTTTCTTTCTTGATATGATTCAAACACTTTATATTACGAAAAATGGTGTTTTTGTTTGCACAAGATTTGTCGGTGTTTTTTTTTTTTGGAGTTTACAAGTTTACATCCACACACGCTTTCAATAAAATCATTTTTATGCCAAAAAATTCTCGTTACATATATAATAAACAGATAACACCATAGAAAGTGCTTTGTACAGGATTATATTCATTCGTTGTTTGCGTAAAACACTCACTCGCTCGTACCTCGCTCTTTCGTGCTTTACACAAACAACTCGTGAATATAATCCCGTACGTCGCACTTTCTATGAAGTAATCTTTATATATTCTGCTTACCAATAACTTTGTTCAACGGTTCTTCGGTTTTAGTGACTTCTCCTCCTTGCGCTGTGCCTTGTTCAGAATGGCAACTGTGTGTCTTATGTAGGACTTTTCAGTATCCCGAGTACACGTGTGTACTTTAGGGCTTGGGTTGACAAGGGGATACGGCTTGGAAGAGAAAGAATTGTTTACCATTTCAACTATTGAAATATTAAAAAAAATAACCCATTATTGCTCGTTCGTTTTTTGGTAAACACGTTATTATCGATTTATTATTAGATCAAAGAATCTTCTTGACAAGGTTTGAAATGGAGGTATCAGGTATTCATAGCCAATTCTGTCTGGCTGCTAGTTTTAAATGCCATTTCAACTTTTGAAATATTAAAAAAATAACCCATTATTGCTCGTTCGCTTTTTGGTAAACACGTTATTATCGATTTATTATTAGATCAAAGAATCTTCTTGACAAGGTTTGAAATAGAAGTATCAGGTTTTTACGGTGGCTTTGAAGTGCCATCTACTTTTTATTTTATGTCGACTTTCTTAGCGACTTTTTTTAGCGACTTTTTGCTTTTACCATGTTCAACCGGTGAACTACTTTATCACTCGCACACACTGTACGCTATTACTACGGGCTCATTTTTCTTAGGAAAATGGCTGAAACAAAGACAGCTCGTTTGTTAAGGTTATGGTTACTGTTGTTATTCTTGAAGGTAGCAGTTGTTCAGTGTGTCCTTCCACAAAATGGGTTGGAATATTAAAAAATAAGAAACATTCAGTCCGAATCTCACAAAAAGAGTGGAGAAACTGATTTTGAAATATTAGAAAAATAACCTATTAGAGTGCAAACAATATAACCGTGAAACTTTAGTCATACTAAATAGCACACTGTCATGCAAATTCCATTGTTTTCTATTGTTTAATTAGCACTATTTTGTACTATTTAGTAATTAGTGTTTCACGGATTTATTGTGGTCACTCTATTGCTCGTTCGTTTCTCGGTAAACACATTATTATCGATATATATATTATTGGATCAAAGCCGGAATCTTCTTGAAAAGGTTTGAAATGGAGGTATCAGGTATTATATCCACAAAAAGATAGAGGGAAAGAAAGAACATCTGAAATCGTTCGAACAAAAAAAATTCATAACCAATTTTGTCTGGCTACTGGTTATGAATGCCAAGGGTGTTTTAAAAAATGGTTTGTAATATTAAGAAAAAAACCATTATTGCTCGTTCGTTTTTTGGTAAACAGGTTATCATCGATTTATTATTAGATCAAAGAATCTTCTTCAAAAGAGTGGAGAAACTGATTTTGAGAAAATAAACCAAGCTTAGAATACTTTGTGCGTTTATTTCG